GACGGCTTCTGCCCAAAAAATCTAGGCAAATCATTTTCACAAAGCATAGTACGAGCCATTTCCTCAAGAACGCTATTTTTCCTTTCTACCACACCATTTTGTTGAGGAGTTCAAGGAACAGAAAAATTATGATCAATACCATGCTCATTACAAAATAGAATAAACTCATTATTGTCAAATTCTCTACCACGATCACTTCTAATGCTACAAATAGCAAGACTAATCACATTTTGAATACGTTTACGGCTGAAAATGCAAAGAAAGTATCACTTTTGTGTGCCAAGAAAATCACCCAAGTAAATTTAGTATAGTTATCCACACAAACAAGACAATAAGATTTACCACAAAGACTTAAAGTTCTAGAAGGTCAAAACAAGTCAATATGCAACAATTGAAGAGGCCTAGAAGTAGAAATAATATTTTTAGATTTGAAAGAAACTCTTGTTTGTTTTCCTTGTTGACAAGCATCACAAAGTCTATCTTTTTCAAAATTAATTTTTGGTAAACCAATAACCAAGTCAATTTTTAAAAGTTTTGAAAGCAAGTCCAAAAGAGCATATCCTAGTCTTCTATGCTATAGCCAGCCAGATTCATTTATAGTAGATAAACACTTAACATCATGATTAGTAGAATTTAAACAACCATAAGAAAACTAGTTCTACCATAAGTATTTAGACCATTACAAATTAAAACTAAAAACCAACAATCAGAAGCAATAAAAGAAGATACTATGCGGGTTTAGGTTTTATATGGAATAAGAGAAGATATTATGCGGGAGAGTGTATAATATAGATATAGGCTATTTGTATACGGTCTGAATTGGTTTCGGATGAAATTGATCCGTGGATTACGAATTTTTAATTTTTCAATTCGGAACCGAACCATGGATTCAAAAAACCAATCAAAACCTACCAGATTGGGTTGGAACAGATCAAATTACGGATTTTACAGATTCTTACCTTAGCCCTAGTATTGTTTGACCTTCTTAAAGCTATCATGAGGTATCAATTTACTTCTTTCCACTGAAACTAGCATAAAGTCTCAGTTTATCTCTCCCTTTCTGAAACGATAACGAAGTATTACTTTACTACCTAAATATAAAATGATACAATTAAACCCTTTAATAAATATACTAATTTATTCGTTATTCCGTGTTCGGCATTTAATTTTATAAGTTCTACTCATTTACTAGAAAGTTCACTTTGCTAATAGTTAAATTACAACTAAACATTATGACTAAATTTTACTATTTGAAGATAATGAAATCTCACTAGTTGAAGATAATGAAATAATTATTACTATCAAGTTTTAATTAAACGATATTAAAATTTTGGTAATTACACACATTATAGAATTAATTAGACAACAAATTAATTAAGAAAATTAAATTATTATTAGCTAATTAAAAATATAGTGACAATCAGTTGTTACTCTAAGGAAACCACTGGTGACATCTCTCTTTAATTCATAAGTTTTTCATTTACTCGCTAGTTTGCCTTTGCCTTTAATTTTATAATTTTTACTTATTTAGTAGAAATTTTACTTTTTTAATAATTTCACCTAAATATTAAGGTTAAATTTCACTATTTAAAGAGAATGAAATTTCACTAGGTGAAATGATGGTTTGTTTTATGATAACGATGACAATGATAATGAAGGTGATGATAATAGCAATGGTGAATGGTAGTGGTGGTGGTGATGACAGTGATGGTGATAACGGTTGCAACAATATTAGTGATGATTGTAGCGATTATAAGGTTATAATGATATTTGTGAATAAACATTTATAAATTCAATTAGCATTAAATAATAATGTAATTTTATGTGAGAAATTCATCATAATTTAAATGATTTTTATCCTACAAACTCAATTATAACTGGATTCAAATGGATTAGAGAAAGGGTACCGCCTCTTATACCAACACCACCAAATTATGAAAATGACTTTTAAATAATGTGTACTTTGCAAAAAAATATAAAAACCATAAAAACCATGTTTTAGTCACCAAATAATCATCAACGATTTTTTTGATGACTAAATTTTTTGTAGGCAAAAACTTCAAATTTTTTGGGCTGCTAAATATTTAATCACCAAAATAAAATTAATTTTTTCATTTTATTACTAACTATTTAGTCACCAAAAATCTTTTATTTCTTTTGGCTACCAAATATTTAGTTGCAAAAAAACCTTGATTTCCTTTTGGCTATCAATTGGTTAGTCGCCAACAACTTCACTTCTTTTTGGCTACTAAATGTTTAGTTGCCAACAACTTTCTTTAGTGTTTTTTTTTTTAATTTTTTTTTTTAAATTTTGCCACGACTTGTTCTACCACAAGTATTTAGACCATAAGTATTTTGCCACGACTTGTTCTACCACGACTTGTATTTAGTTGCGAAAAAGAGACTTGCTGAGGGAAGAGAGAGAGAGAGAGAGTCGAAAGGGTTAACCGGTTGCCCAGATTTCCATTTTCCACAATTAAATAATTCAATGGTCCTGATCATTTCTTTCCAATCTAAGGGTTAATACTTAGGGTGAATATGGTGTGCAACCTTAAGGGGGTTGCACACTTAAACAAAACCCACAACTTTAATATGATAAATATGTAAAGTTGTCATGTCACATTCGTGTTTTCATTTTTGATCAAACACAAAATCAGGCTATTTATCGATAAGCTTATTTATCAATATATTTCATATCACAAATAAGTACTTTAAGTAGCTTTAAATTTTTTTTTATTGATCTGTTAAGTTCTATTAGTGGAGAGTTTCTTTTCATGTAGTGCTATTTTTGATTTTGGTAGTGTTTTGGTAGACAGTTATACTATTTTATTAATTTGATAGGTATGATGCGATACTCCAATATGACAGGTACTAATATCACACTCTAGCGATGTGACACTCTAAAAAATTAAAAACTCTTTAGTATACTTTTTCTAAATGTGACAAGATGATGGGCATGATGTGACACTCCAAAACTTTTACACTAAAAAAAATAATTCCTCTTTAGTGTGCTTTTTCAAATGTGACAATTGTAAGTATGATGTGACACTTCAAAAAAAAAATTCCTTAATATATTTTTCTCAAATGTATTAACGTGACAGATATAATGTGACACTTCACACAAAGCCTGCAGTTGCAGGAGCCTGTGAAGATTTTGGAGATCTTTTTGTTGACAATCCCTCCATGTTTGTTTATGTAATTTATTTTATTTTATTTTTATAAATATACTTTAAGCATTGTTTTCTTGCTTTTTATTTGAAATAATGTTACCTATAGTTTTGCATATTAAAAACTAATTTTTAAATGTATATAAATGAAGTGAGAATTAACCACTTTGTTTGGTTTCAGTTTTCTGAAAATAATTTTCAAAACATTTTACTTTTTTACTTTTCGTATTTTAATGTTTTTAATGATTTTTTTAATATTTTAAGCAATTTTTTTTTAATTGTTAGACACACCTTACATAAATACACTTAAAAAGTATAGTGAAAAAAATCTTTCAAAAATACTCTAAATATATAAAAAAAAATACGAAAATTCAGTATATTTTTCATATTTTTGTGTATTTGTTAATTTTGTAAAATATTTTTTGACAAATATTTTACTATTTAGATACATCTAAGTAAGGTTCATCTAAAAAAGTAAAAAAATTGTTTAAAATTTAAAAAATATTCACTACAAAAAAACGAAAAACAAAAAATTCAATCTTTAAAAAATTAAAACCAAACACATTGAACAATTTTCTTAACTTTTGCTAAAGTGTGATGATTAACTTGGAGTTTTAAATAATTAGAAAATGATATTTATTTTAAGATAAATTTTTACCATTTTCTTTTATGTTAAAAGGTGTCAATAGATTATAAATAGCCTTTTTGTGAGTAATATTCTTTATTTAATTTTGAATAAATAAAAAATCTCAATTTTTTTTTTATTGTCACAAACTGAAAAAGTAAATAAATAAATAATTATATTTTACAATTACAATCAAATATCATTAATAAACCTTTTATTGTAACCAAATAAATTAATTCATAAACATTAACAAACCAGACTATAATAATATCATTGGTAAAGTTTTCGTCGACAAGTGATTACAAAAGCAACAAAGACGCAACAAAATAATTAGTGGAATAGATATGCTTTCATTATCATAAACATTAAAAATATAAAAAGGTAAACCACTACAAGAAAATATACTTTTGGCGATTAAAATATTAGTCGCCAAAAGTACTGATTTTAGTCACCAAAAGACACTGCTGACCAAAAATTTTGGTCACTGGCTTTGTCGGGGATACATCGTTGCCGAAGGTATTAGCGACTAAAGAACATTTAGTCACCAAAAGTACTACAAAATTACTGACAAACACGTTAGTAGGCAAAAGTAACAGCTATTAGCGACGAAAAGAGCCTTAGTCGCCGATGACTCACATTAGCGACTAACATATTAGTCACCCAAAGGGTGCATTAATTTGTTTAACTCACATCTTTAGCTACTAAATCTTTTGTTGCGAAAACTGAAAATATCTACGGCGACGAAATTTTTTGTCGCCAATAGTGTTATTTCAGCTACTAAATCTTTAGTCGCGGAAAGGTTCATTCTTGTTTTGCTACTAAACAGGTTAGTCGGCTATGCTTTTTTATTATGTTTTGGCAACTAAAAATGTTGTCGCCAAAAGTGTTTTGAGTTTTAGCTACGAAACAGTTAGTCACAAAAAGTGTTTCGCTTTGCTTTAGCTACTAAATATTTAGTGGCCAAAAGATTTATTTCTTTTTTTGGCTACTAATTGTTTTATCACCAAAAATGTCATTTTATATTTTTATTTTGGTTTTTTCATTTTAATAAATTTTGTTAGAACATGTATGTATCCACCGCAACCTGTAATAGGTATACAACCTATATATATTATCACCTATTCCGTAATGCATGTTTCACTTACAACCATCAAACAAAAAATAACACATGCATAAACTTTTATACAAACCAACTATATATATTCCAATTACAAATAATAACGTCATACATTCCAAATACGTTACCAAAACAATGTCCTTCTTACACAACATTTTTACTATACTACGCATTGTTATGACCATTTGCCAAGGTACAAATTGCCATGGTAATATGTACCACGACAAAAGGTAATCTATATATATACACCAGAGCAATTAATACAAGCTCCAAAAATACTATGTACCCTGCCATAAATTATATGTACGATGCATCCAAATTCCAAGGTCCATTGATTCTATACGACCAGAGCAATTAATAGAAGCTCCAAAAATACTATGTACCCCGTCAAAAATTATATGTACGATGGATCCACAGTCCACAAAAAGTATAGGACGACAAAAAACTTCCGAAATTTGCAAAACTGTGAATTATCTTCCGGACAAAAAAATAGAAGATCCACATGTCAATGCCAAAAGCCATCTACACAACAAAAATTACACCCATTAGTTCCATTGTAAATAAAAATTGTAAACAAAAAGTTATAGCCATCTACAAAACACAAATTGCAAGGATGTCAATTGTAATTGAAATTGTATTTAACTATAGTTTGAATTTAGGACTTTCAATATACTTTCTTTACACTTTAAATTGTATTGAAAGTGTACACTTAAAGTGCAAAAAAATTTCCCAAGTCAAGCATGAGCCCCATGTCAAGTTTAGTCTAATGTGTAAACATATATGTATCTTATTCATAAATGTACATATATAGAGATGCTTATAGAACATATATTTTTCTAAGCTTTAATACATGCCATCACAACTTCATCAAAAATCCTTTTTTCACTTGTTTGCCAACCTCTTCAACCATTTTTGTCTTACCTACCCCTCCTAGTCCATGCACCCCAATCTGTTTTGTGGTTCACAAATTTAAAGCATTTCATGCTTTCAGGATCTGTTTTGTGGTTCGAAAATTCTTCAACTTCTTTTATCATCTTGTCTGCCTCTGTTAGCCAGTTTGAAACATTAGCCTTTATGTCTTCACCAAGGGTCTTGTATATATCAACTTCATCATTGACTTTTTGCCACTGATCTTCAAGGTTCTTCTTTTCAACATCCAACTTCTATAGGTTTCCTTTGTAGCAAGTAACAAAATAGATATGACACACCACCAATTGGATCACTGAATCAATAATTTTTTCTACAATCTTATCCAGTATGATTTGGGGACTACACATTTTCAATTCACTCTTTTTCTTATCTCTTCCTGAGTTTTAAGGATATGGTAGAAAAGAGAGGTTCAAAGCAAATGCTAACAATAGAAACAATGGTGGTGTTTGGGAACTTAGGTTCCGAATTTTTTTCTCATTTTTTTCACTAAAAGACAAACTTTTTACAAAACCAAAAAAAGCACATCCAAACAAAATATCACATCCAACCCTATAATCATTTCACTTTTTCTCTCACAAACATCACATCCAACCACATAAAAATCCAACTATCTTCCCAAACACCAAAAATTTTTTATCCAATAAAAACCTACAACTAAAAAAACCTACATAAAAACTCACTTCCCAAACACCATCAATGTAAATATTGCAATAGAAGCTAGTTAAGACTTGTGGTAAATGTCAAGTATCTTATCTTTCAACTTCGGAAGTTAATATAAGCTTTAATATATTTTTGGTCTAGCTTTATAGCGTTTCTCACGCCAACTCCTAACGTATGCGTGCTAATTACGTCCCGTCTGACCCCATAGGTCCTATTTCACATGAGGAAGCTACCCACGCCATCCTTACAGTTGTTCAGGGGATGCTTTCAATTTTCGGCCGTCGAAGGCCGTTTCGGCTAAGTTTATGACGTTTTGCACGCCAACTCCCAACGTACACGTGCTAATTACGTCCTGTCTGTCCACACAGGTCCTATTTCACACAAGGAAGCTACCCGTGCCATCCTTACAGTGGTTGGGAGGCTGCTTTCAATTTTTGGCCCTCGAATGCTTTTTTCGGCTAAGTTTATGGCATTTTTCAGGCCAATTCCTAACGTACACGTGCTAATTACGTCCTATCTGTCCCCATAGGTCCTATTTTACACCAGCAAGCTACCCGTGCCATCCCTACAGTGGTTGGGGGGCTGCTTTCAATTTTCGGCCCTCGAAGGCCTTTTTCGGCTAAGTTTACAGCCTTTTTCACGACAACTCCCAATGTACACGTGCTAATTACGTCCTGTCTATCCCCACAGGTCCTATTTGACACAAGGAAGCTACCCGTGCCATCCCTATAGTGGTTCGGCGGCTGATTTCAATTTTCGACCCTCTAAGGCCTTTTTTGGCTAAGTTTATGGCCTTTTTCACGATAGCTCCCAACGTACACGTGCTAATTACGTCCTGTCTATCCGCACAGGTCTTATTTGACACAAGGAAGCTACTCGTGCCATCCCTACAGTGGTTGGGGGGCTGCTTTCAATTTTCTGCCCTCGAACGCCTTTTTCGGCTAAGTTTATGGCATTTTTCACGCCAACTCCCAACGTACACGTGCTAATTATGTCCTGTTTGGCCCCACAGGTCCTATTTTACACCAGCAAGCTACCTGTGCCATCCCTAGAGTGGTTCGGGGGCTGCTTTCAATTTTCAGCCCTCAAAAGCCTTTTTCGGCTAAGTTTATGGCCTTTTCCATGACAACTCCCAACGTACACGTGATAATTACGTCCCATCTATCCCCACAGGTCCTATTTAACACAAGGAAGATACCCGTGCCATCCCTACTGTGGTTTGGGGGCTGCTTTCAATTTTCGGCCCTCGAACGCCTTTTTCGGCTAAATTTATGGCGTTTTTAACGTCAACTCCCAACGTACACATGCTAATTACATCCCGTCTATCCCCATAGGTCCTATTTTACACCAGCAAACTACCCGTGCCATGCCTAGAGTGGTTCGGGGGCTGATTTCAATTTTCGGCCCTCGAACGCCTTTTTCGGCTAAGTTTATGGCATTTTTCATGCCAACTCCCAACGTACCCGTGCTAATTACGTCCCGTCTGTCCCTATAGGTCCTATTTGACACGAGGAAGCTACCCGTGCCATCCCCATAGTGGTTCGGGGGCTGCTTTCAAATTTCGGCCCTCGAAGGCCGCCTTTTCCAGCTAAGTTTATATGGTGTTCTGGTAAGTTGATATTTTACATAGGAGACTAACTGAACTAATATATTTTTCCAATATGACAATAATGAAGCTCATAATTGTCCAATGTATTGAGCAGGGTCAATAGGGGGAAATAGACCCGGAATTATGTTGATTACAACCTAAATAAAGTCATGATTCAATGTTGACAACTCCTAATGCACAATGAGGGTTTCATTAATTTTTTTCACGTATTACCGTCCTTTTTACGCAACAAAAATTACGATTGTATTAGCATCCTTTTGATTACAACCCAAAATTGTTGTCCACTAACAGACCCCACAACTCTAGAAACAATTATAGACTTATTGTACATAGAAGCGTTACAAAAATATATACCGATTGACTCGACTAAAACCTACCGGATGTTTCTAACTTAAAAAATTCAAATAACATTTTAGTTTTCTAAAAAATCGATTTTCTGTACCTTTCAGTGCTCTGAATTTGCATTGTATCTTCACAGCTCTTCTCTCTCTCAAACTCATCAATATGAACCAATAATGGCTTGCATGCACTTTACACCAGTCCAGTTGTACTAGTTATGTTGTACTAAATCAAAATTCATTCCAATTTAACTTGGTTTATTCAATTAGTCTTAAATTTGAAATGACATTCAATTGGATATCACTGCTAATATAGTAACTGGCCTTATATTCATAGGCTCATCGTATTTGCTTTTGGGGAACTTAATATTTCATTCCAATCATGTGGTTACCTTATGGAAATCAGATTACGGTCCTTTGTATAATGTATCCAAACACCACGTTGGCTGCTGCAAAGTCTACTCACTTTATGCCTCCAAACCTATTCAAAGCACATAACAAAAAAAAAAATTGCATAGCAACTTTAGAAAACAATTCTATGTCAACATGATCCATATTTTTTGTAGGAGTTGAACTAGCTTGTCAAACAAAATTTTGTTTACCGAATAGTAGGATGACCATTTGAACCCTCCAAGATGATTCTCATACTAGCACCGCTTGGATGACCGCATCTTTGGTAGTGTGATCAATTTTTCTCCATGACTTCACGCTCTGAAGAGGGCATAACCGTTTAATTTGAAGGCCCGACTCATTCGTCGCTGGGGTGGCATTCCCTCCTGTGATTGCGTTTAACACCCGATTGACATAGACTTGTAATTTCTCCCCTTTTCTCCTAGCAATTTTTTTCTACACTCCTTTGCCTAATGTTAGTCCTCGTACACGAGTTGACCTCGTTTGCCCTAGTACAAAAGGGGAAGGAAGTCACAAATTACAAACATTGCTAATGAACTTTAAAAAAAAAGGTAGCCGTAATGGGTCCTGTTAGTTTTTTCGCTGCCTATTGTTGCTGCCAACTACTGTTTCGCTGTATAAAGTCAAACATAAATTATGCTACAACTTGGATTTCGCTGCTATCGATGCAGCTGGGGCAACATTCAATTGGCTGTTGCTGATGTTGTAGCTGATTTCAAGGTTGTTTAGCTAATATTTCATTTGTTATGGAAGTGTCCATGTTATGTGCAACGTAATGCTTGGCTTTTTTTTTTTCTTTGTTTTTCTTTGTCTTTATGGGGTTTTTATTGCCTTACTTGATGACTTATGCACCCAAAAAAAATAAATAAAAGTAAAACAAAATTTGGACCGATTACAACTAAGTTCAATGCTCTTACCCACTCCACTTGGCTGCGTCTCGTCCACCACTGTTGGTGTATCATCTGGTGGTTGCGTCTCAACAGAGAACGTCAGCGGGGTGCCAATCTCTTGTGGATATGCTTCAGAGGCTGATAATACATTGCCACTTGTTGCTCTCTTCCGCCGCCCCGTCTTGATTCCAGGAACCATGGTACCTACATTACGTAACATACATGAATAATTGTTCTTGACAGATCTTTTGCATTACAAAAAGTCTACTTGCACATAAATAAAATACATAAAGGTTGTCAGATGAGAGACCCCCTCTTGTCTCTATTGCATGAAACTATCTGTGTTTTAATAATCTCTAGAATTAATGTGCTTAATTATCACTGATAAGTACTATGTTTGTAAATGGTGCAGGTACATGGGAGTTAAGATACTAAGTGAGAGGCTTGCAAGTGAGGAATCAAAGTGATAATATCTCACTATTCAAAATTGTTATCAGACAATTTGATTTATCATTTACATTGAAAATTTTATTAATGTAGTTGATGGGTTTCTATTTTATTGTTCATGTCATATATTAGGTGGATTTCAAGGGACAAATTATTTGGGGTGAGAACACTATGTGGGTGTGGATCGCATTATTTTCCCCAATTATATGAATTTTTTGTTTCTATAGTACTCTGTTTTTTTTTTCTTTTTTACCATTTCTCTCTTTTTTTTAATTTTTTTTTTTTATGTATAGTATTCTTTGGTATTTTTCCTTGACTAAAAATCCTAAGATGACCTTACAGAAAAGAAAAGAACGAAACTCGTTACCATTTGTAGACACCCCATTTTTGACCGTCCTCAAGACTTGGACGTCACCGTTTGAACACCCGGTGATCATCCATGTTTGTGTTCGTTTGGAGTTCCCGGAGGACTCAACTCGCGCGCCCTGCCTCAGAATCTCCGAACTTGACTATTTAGTGTCTGGTTTTGCACCAAACACTTTTGTTTTGCCTTAGAGGGGCAGGGAATGCCTTGTGAGACATCCCCATACACCACCGGCAGTGCCTGGAGGCCACCGGCTGGTCATTTTCTGCCATCGGCACTTTTGTTTGCCGGTCGGCATACTTTATTGCCGGTCGGCATAATTGGTTGCCGGTTGGCACTGTTTTTTGCCGAAATAGCATTTTTGGGCAGCCGACCACTGTTCATCCACTTTTTGGAGATATTTTGTGCCAGCTGTGATAGCTGGCACCAACTCTTCCCCCCTACATACACGTGTATGGAGGGATTTTCCTCTAGCCAAGTTTGTTGTATAAGCTCTGCAAGAGGGAGTCCTATAAGAGAGGGGCTTTCCTCTTGGTTCTAGGTTAGAAAATTAGAAGCAAAAACCAGCCCTTAGAGATATAGATACATATTATCTCTATACCTCTCTCCCTCTCCCTTCTTGTGTGTGTTTCTTGGCCCAAAAGGTGTGTTTTACCTTACTTTTGCACCATTACACACACTATCACACCTTATTCCGAGATTGAGGGACTTGGGGGATTGTTTCTTGAGTTTTTGGACTGATTTTGATCAAAAGAAGAGGGCTAGACCATTTGTTCTTCAAGGGTTCTTCAAGGGTGAGCATCTTCCCTTTTATTCCCCAAACTTGCATTGGTTTTCTACCTATTTTGTTTACTGTTTTGGCCCTTGTGTATAACATAAAAAAGGCTTAAATTTTCCTGCTCTAACACTTTCGTTAAGGTCACTTTGTGGTTAGATTGCAAACTCACCCTCATAGGCCTTGTTTGGTCTATTTTGGTGCCTCTTTGATAAGGTTTTGTTCACTTCAGCATTTTGATCTTTTCATCACTAAAAATCAGTGTATTTTAGTGTAA